TGCTAGATAAACCTGGACTGAACATGTAGCTAAATTTGAGTTTTTTTCTCAAGCGACTTCGGGAGGCTGGTTTGACCATTCGGCCAAGAAAGAGTGAGATTGGCAAGGATCCAGTCAAATTCTCGGTCATTTCCTTGCCCAAGGCGTTATTCGACCACTGGTTGAAACACTCGGCAAAATATAGGCTGCGAAGCGCCTGCGAACTAAAAAGAAGTACGCTCGTTCTTGGGTCTCACAGGTTATTACAGAGATGTCCCACACAACTGCTGTGAAGCTTCTTATCCACTGACCGAATTCACCAAGAAGAAGGCCCCTAACAAAATTCTCTGGTAAGAACGAGAACAGAATTCCTTTGATGGACTCAAGATTTTGTTATTCACGCCACCCATTCTAAAAGCACCTCATTTTATAAAAACGTTTGTACTCCACACCAATGCATCATCGAGAAGTGCAGGTGCCATAGTTATGGATTGTCATGAAGGAATACAGCATCTAGTGTCATACCCAAGTCGTAGACTACAATCACGTGAAGCTGCTTACGCTACAGTGAAGCGAGAAGCCCTGACTTTTACGTGGGCGGTCCGGAAATTTCACATATACTCATTCAGATACACATTCATTCTGCTACAAACCACTTGAGCGCAAACCACTTGTCTACATCAAGTCACCCAAGCGTTGTGAACAGCGTAGTGTTGCAGTGGAGCCTCATTCTTATGGAGTACGACTTTTCGGTCGAATATGTAGAAGGCAGTGACAATGTAGGTGCAGTATACATGAGTGGTTTGCCAACTTCGCGGGCAATGTTTGCATAATAACTCGATGCCCAGTGCTTGTGCCGTCAACCTGACAGCGTGATAAGATACAAGTATCCTGAAGCTTTATTTATGTGACTTGTTTCTATTTTTTGGTGTTTACATTTGTGATCGAATGTTCCGAGTGTGCGGGGCTTGGAACTGCTATACTGTGCGGTGGTGCTTACGTGCGTGCTTCCGTCTGCGAACCAGTGTGTCCACAGTGCCTAGTGCCTTCAAGTTTTTCTACTGGAAGAACTTTCTTAAGTGAGGGTGTTTTGATGTAGTAGCTCGAAAAATGCGAGTATAGCAGACAACAACACCACATCGCCAATGCGATGACAAAAATGAAGGGGCATTGAAGCTCGCCCATTGAAGAAGAGAAGACACTCGTGCAGAACTGAGCTGTTGGGACACCGTCAAAATGGTGCAAGAGAGCTTGGGGTGAACCCGCAACTACGCGTGAGGTTTCGGAAGGCCGGGTTCCTGTCCTCGAGCCTTTGACGGCCTCAGGGTATGGCGTGTCAGCATGACTGAGCACGAGATCCGGCGCAAGTGTTCTTGCAAACATCTCCAGTTTGGCGAGCGTCCTCGAAAGACCGGAGATGCTGACGACGACCAGCTAGCCGATGTTGCTCATAGTGTGCGGCTACGCCAAAATCTCACGATGCATTCTGCAGCGTTACGCTGACCTGTGAACTCAAGCGACGGGCTCCACTTCAAGGCACCGGGCATTCTTTTTCTTATGTGTATAAACCACGTGCGGGCACAATGACTGTATTTTTCGCAAATCTTTTTTTCTCTTCCAAAATAACATCATTTTGTTTTCGGCACTGGCTTCATCTTCTTCGCGTCACACGGCTTGCTACGCGACAAACCCAACCACTACACCTACATAAAACATCGTTGGATGCGCACAATCTCAATCGGGATATAACTGCTTCCCCCATGTCATTATTGAATAAAAGCAGCAATAGTGTTGCCAAAACTGAGCCCTGAGGGACACCAGTAGGGACTTCCCTTTTTGAGTACTCAAAACTATTCAAAATATCTGTTGTTTCTGCATTTTAGGCTATGTGATAATCCAGAAAATTAGTTGTGTATTATTGTTGAAGGAATGCAATTTTCGAATTGCATTCAATTGAACGAATGAACCAATTCAATTTCAATTGAGAATGAACCACAGTGAAGAACACCTTCCAAAATCTAAAAAGAAACAGTTTAAAGGTAGTCGCTTGTCGAGATGACTGTCCTTTCATAAGTAAAATTGATTATTTGCGTTCTACAAGAAAAAAATTGGTACCATATTGGTATGGAATAAATAGTAAATAGCCGCACATTCTACAAGAAATATTCTCTCTGGTACCATATTGGTATGAATTAAATACTAAATAGCCATACTTGAACATATCATACCCAGCGATTTGGGACATCGCTCTTAGCTCACCATTTTCACACCACGTGGCGTACAGACCATCATGCTGTACCTCATAATGTGCATCATATCTGCAGACTTTTGCTGAGGAGTTACTATGATCAACTTTCACTTTCTCATCGATTTACCGATAGATAATTATTTCACCCCTACAATGCTGCTTTTCTGCATCATCGATTTGGGAAAGCTCTGCCGGAAAAAAATTCACCTAGCGTAATTCCACGAAATTGCAAGCACAAAGTCTGCTTGTCCTACCGTAGATGTCACTAGGGTGCAATTAGCTAATAAATTGTCAATACACTACAATTATTTTTCAAAATCACACCTTACATTTTCAGTGGATACACAAAAGTGTCTCAGGGAAAAACTCCAGCCGGCCAATAAAACTCATCGCGTTGTAGAGCGTATGGAAGCCGTCAGAATTAGGTGCCTGAAGTGCCATTAGCGAAAAATCAGGCACTGCTCCATAATAAATTTTAACAACGCTCCCCATAGTGTCCCAGATTGCTAGATATGAAATGCACTCAAACACTTTCCATCCCAGATAAGTCATACAACTTTTTCTCTCCAAATTTCCACGCCTCGTCGCGGTGGTCTAGTGGCTAAGGTACTCGGCTGCTGACCCGCAAGTCGCGGGATCGAATCCCGGCTACGGCGGCTGCATTTCCGATGGAGGCGAAAATTGTTCTAGGCCCGTGTGCTCAGATTTGGGTGCACGTTAAAAAACCCCAGGGGGTCAAAAGTTCTGGAGCCTTCCACTACGGCGTCTCTCATACTCATATGCTGGTTTTGGGACGTTAAACCCCACATATCAATCAATCAATCTAAATTATCCCCAGTTTCCAACATCTCTACTTCGCACAGCGCTCTCGCAAGCTGTCAATATGACAGAACCCTGTTTGACGTGTGTTGTATCTATGGCATCAAAACAGTGTTGTGTAGAAAACACCAATATAAATTCCAGACTTCGATAATTCGATTTCAATCTGAAAGCCATCTTTGCTATTTCAAATAATGTACCACCCCAAAGCTTGATAAGAATCATAAATCGGTATAATGAACTGCATACCTTTGCTAAATTAAAGAAAAATTGCGTACAGATATAAAAAATAGTTCCAGTCGCCGCAATTTTCTACTACCAAGACACAAACACATAGGTTCCATTTTTAAACTGTTACGTTGGTATTCGTCCAACAATTTGACCAATTTGACTAAATAAATCGCAGGTATTCGCGTAGTGTAAACTGTTGCTTTATTGCTTGCCTTACGATGTGTGTACATGAATGGTACATACAAATTGAATGCACAAATACAACTGCAGTGCACATCTCGATACTTTTCTCTAATTGATTTTGTTAGGAACTGTTACTATTGGGCAACAGGTGGCGGGACGAAATGCCAATCGCTGTGGCCGCACTTTCAATGGAGAGAAAGAGCTTGAGACCCGCGTGGTCCAATGTGCTAGAGTCCTGCAATCGGTGTCTCCCATAATCATGTGATGGCTCTTAGGCGTTGCGTCCCAGCAAGTTTTGAGCTCTTCAGCGCAGAGTTTCATTCTCCTTCGGTCATGCGCTGACTGAGAATTGCGTAATAGGGGGCACTGCCAGAGCATGTGGTCTAACGTACATACGGTCTCACAATATGGGCATATTGGATCAATGTCTTCAGTGAACTGGCTGTGGGAATGAAGACCTGGGTACGTCCTAGTTTGAAGCGTGCGGAGGCTAGATGCTTGGGTCCTACAATGTTTGGTCACTTCGTTGAAAGTCAGGAGAAAATACCTAAATACTGTTAGATCGGAGACTGAAGATCCCCCAGGCTGCCCTACATGGCGAGTAAGTTCTCGTGCTTGGGCGTAGGCGATCGCGTTTAGGTTTGGCATGGACGCCACATGTGATCATAGGAGCTTCAAGATAATCTGAAGTGGTAATTTCGAATGGATTTTTAAAATATTTCTTGCGATAAAAATATGTCCCTGCTTAACGACTACTACTCGCTTTTGACTCGACAAAAGTCAATCGGAATCAGCCCATCTGGTAAAATAGTGTATTGGAGTTCTGAAAATAATTTTGCAAATACCTTCTTTTTTGGCAGCAGAAAACAAAACATTCGAAATTAGAGAGTAATAAACAATGTGGCACATTCTCTAAATTGTTTTTTTACGGAGGGCACTGATTTAGCAAAGTAACTGCAATTTTTACTCTCGCTGCTCATTGTGTGCATAGAGCAATATGGAGCGCGACACCTTAAGTATTTTGTAATATTCCGTGAAAATTCTCTTTTCGGAAAATTTGCAAATAGTGGTTTTAGCTAACTGGACATTCAGTCTTTTTTCACGAAAATAAAGCTTTTTCTCTCAATAATTTTGGATGTGAAGTCTTAGGAACATGTATTGCAGCTTATTGTTACCAGCAAAATTCAAAGACTTGCATAGACGTTCTTATGTGCAAGGATCGTATGGGAGTCTGATAGACCGAAGTTGTAATGGCGCCATGAAGAAGATAACCTGTAAATGTGCTCCCCATAAGAAGGGAATAAGAAAACCAAACAATACAACACAATCATCATGCGAAATAAGCTGTCGCTCAAGCGCTACAAACGCGTATCAACTGGACAACGCTTGAATGCATTTTTGCAATGTTCTTTATAGATATATTATTCACTGAAATGGTTCTTGTGTGGGTGAAAATAAGTCGGCACAGACATTAGGAAGGCATTTATTTCAGAATTTCCTATTCGACTTAAGGAATAAGTTCTGTCTTTATTTATTAAAGATTCTTCTCCTTGCAAAGTTCATCGAGGTAAAGAAAACTGCATCTTCGACAAGCATGGTTGGCACTACAACTGGTTTTACAGAGTCTGCTTTATGGATGACTCTACGCACTGCGGTTTCGGTGCAAAAAAGTTTGATAGTTGTGAAAAGTGCATGGAAACTTGCAGTGGTAAATGTTGCACCAATCTAGTATCAAATAGTTTGTGTGGAATGGTAATATTTGTTGTGATAATATACAGCCCATTCGCTTCAAATACCTCACGTTATCTCACACAGTATTGGTACGTGGGCTTAATTCACCTAAAATTGCTCGTTCCTCAATCATAAATACCGTTTACCACCATGTAGCTAGTTCTTGGTAACGGGATATATCTGATAGCTAATATAAGTACCAGCTATAGCGCTGGGATGATTGATGAATGACCTATTCGATTCATGCTCCAGCAGATTAACCATGTGAGGTATTCATTTTCACCGTTATTATTAGAGCCACTGTTCCTTCCATTTGAATATTTAGTTTTTTTCAAAAGCATGCACCGTAAACCAGTTGTACTATATATTCTTCAAAGGAATAGAAATTAAGATTATTCCGTCACTCTTAGAACCAAAATTTGGAGCTTTTTATACTTTGTGTAACAGCTGAAGTGTTGCTGGTGCCTCACACAACCCAAAGGGAATTACTTTAAAGTGGTAGAGCTCATACCGTTTAATAAAGGTGGTGTTTTCTCGATCATTTTCTTCGATAGCAATTGGCTGTTAGTGTGAAAGAAGTTCCATGGAAGAAAAGTATCATTGGCCATATGAGTATAGTGTTAAAGCTATGGTATGAACTTTAAAAGAAGTAAGCAACATAACTGTTCACCAGTCAAAAATTTATTTGATGAACAAAATAATGCCAACAACAAATGTAACATAGATTTATAATATATTTCCACAACAAGGAGTTTCTTCGCATACGCAAAATACTCATTGGAGAAGGGAATTCGCAAGGCAATGACCAGGGGGTCCTCCTCTCATTGCAAAGCGCAAGTGGGTTCACGAGCTGTAGACGCTGGACTGCTCGAGTATTCTTGTCCGTACCGGCTGTCTGCTTGCTAACTGGCAGCACTATTAAACCTCCTTGCAAAGTGGTAGAAGCGTGCTGGGTACGCAAATATGCAACTTTCAAGCCGGAAGCTGCCCGCCGCATCAACAATGCCTGATCAGATCACAGAGCAAGGCGCCACCCAGCAAAGCACGGTCCAGTCTCAGCTGTTCATCGTGCCTACCACCCTGCGCCGACAAGATCCCCCTTCTTCAGTGGCACCGACGACCAGTATGTCAAAGGCTGGCTGCATCTGTTTGAAAAGGTGAGCGCCGCGAACAAGTGGGACGAGCCCTCTGAGTCGGAGTATGTCCCATTTTACCTCAAACGCATCGGCAGCCTGTCGTTCAAAAGCCACCGTACTGAATTCGCCACTTGGGCTGATTCAAGATTACCCATGCACCTGTGTTTTATTGCCTCACTGTGCGCAAGCTGCGTGCTAAACAGCGCCTGCATGGACGTGCGCAAAGGTAGGGCGAAAGCTCCATAAGCTATATCAATGCAATCCATTTATGCGGGCGAATTAACCCTGAGATGACCGAACAAGACAAGATCAGGCCTATCTTGAAAGGCGTAGACGATAATGCCTTTCAAATGTTGGTGGCGAAGGGCCCAAGTAACGTGTCCGAAATTGTGACCTTGTGCGAGAGCTTGAAAGAACTTCGCAAGCAACGTGCATCAGTTCGGAGGCTGACGACAGCACACGACTCTCTCGCTGCCCTGGTCCTTGGTGGTGACAGCACCCTGATGGTGCAGATAAAAGAATATATACGCGAAGAGGTCACACAACAGCTTTCATGTCTCTCGTATCTGCCGACCACCGAAGTACCAATGAACCGCCTAACGCCGACCATCAGACGGGCTATTCAGGAGCACGTCTCCAAGGTGTTGCCAGTGCCGACGTCTACTCGTTTCGGCTTCCATGCCACGCGCCTCACGTGCCACCTGAAAATAACGAACGCGACGCGCATGATGCTTCCAGTACCCGAACCTCCACTTCTCGACGTTCAACTTCCCGCTCATCTTTGCCTTCAGCAAGTCGTCACTCTGTGTCACCTATGCGTAGACGACCCACCTTCATTGAGACGGAAAACTGCCGCAGCTCATCTGCCGTAGCCGCAACTCATCTGATCGTCTAAGTCCTCGCTAGTCCCCAGCAAATCTCATTGATGTAATCATCGAAGGTGTACGAACACTTGCACTAATCGATACTGGTGCCGCGATATCTGGGATTAGTCGAAGACTCGGCCGCTCTCTTCGTAAAGTAACGATGATTTTCCCGTGGTTTCTCTTAGCACTGAAAGCACCCAACAAATTTAGGCCGAAGTGGTATGCCGACTGGTGCATGTTTTCACGATGTCATCCTAGGATGGGATTTTAAATGCGAAGCTTTTCTTTGCGAGCATCAGCGACGTTAAGCATATCTATCTATCTATCTATCTATCTATCTATCTATCTATCTATCTATCTATCTATCTATCTATCTATCTATCTATCTATCTATCTATCTATCTATCTATCTATCTATCTATCTATCTATCAATCTAGCCGCCTGCGCCTTTTAGCTCTCCTGGCTGTTTTAATAATACTAGCAGTACCGAACTTGGTATGACACAACATTACTGTATGAAGAACATAACTGACTAGTCATAACATAAAAATCATGATATGTATTTTATGAATGTCAAGATTTACATTTCATGGTACCGCAGCTCTTGCGGCGGTTTCATTCACATTTCGCATGTTGCAAAACTGGTATGGTATGACATGATTGCATGGCGATCACAAACGACTGACCCTGACGTGAAAAATTATGACATGGGTGTCATGTGACAACATGACTACATGCCATGCTCATGATGCGGTTGCAGCCATTTCGTTAGCTCAAGTGTACAAAACTCGGTATTATGTGACGCGAACGTACGACATAGGTAAATGACACATCTAAACATGATAATCACGACATGTGTGTCATGTAAATACATGACTACATGCCACAATATTGATGTGCTCGCTGCCGTTTCGCTAGATTACACATGCCAAATTTGGTAATACATGACGCCCATGGATGACGAAGGCATGTGACCGGTGCAAACATGATATTCAAGACATGCGTGTCATGTGAGAAAATGACCACATGCCACAGTCAAGGCGCCGATACATTTCGACGTGACCTGGTGCGCGTGCTCACCGGCGTTCATTTCGTCGCGTCACGCCGCGTTGCCAGCCATGCGCCGGCTCTGCCATATATTCGCAGGTGCGGTCCGCACTGTGTTGCTTTGACGCATGCGCGTTTCAGTGCATCCGCTGTCTTTCTGTTACGAAAAGAGGGAGACGCAGTGTTGTCTGGTTAACACGTTTGCGCGAATTGCGACATGCTGCATTTCGCGTCGGTTGCCGTCAGGTCACGCCGACGGACGCTGCTCGTGCCTGGCGTCAGACTATAGAGAGCTTTCGTTTTGCTAACGCAGCGTTGCTGTGCCTAGCGTGGGCGCCTCAACGCTACGCTGGAGTGTAATTGGCCCTTCATGATGCTTTCGCGGTCGTTTTGCTAGCTCCACATACACCAAATTTGGTGTTACTTGACGTCAATGGATGCCAAAATATATGACTGGTGCAAACATCATGATCCTGACACGCTTGTCACGTAAGAACATGAAAACATGCCACGCTCATAGCATGCTCGTGGCCGTTTCGCTATCTCTACATGTACTAAATTTGGTATCACGTGACGTGAATAGATGACGAAGGCAAAAGACACATCCAAACATGGTAATAATGACACGGAAGACACGTACGGCATACTTTATCTCCATCCCATAACTTTGCCTTGATTTTAAAGTGACATATCAACATTTCCCATTCCTGCTTTGCATATCATCGATTCTTTTTGTACGTGTGATCTGCCATGCTTTTTTATCACGTCATCACACCGTTGTGGACTGCGCTCGGGCCAAAGTGAAACTGTCACCGTGACGCGCCTTCTGTTGATGCGGCCGTATCTAGTGTGGCTAACCTTGTCGTCGCGACGGACATAAATCCTCCTTTCGGCGTCCAGTTTGTCCCTGCCTGCTGCACTTCACTTTCTGACGCTACCGTCCTATTCACGCCATCTGACATCTTCGGTAGCCGCCATCACACATCGCTGCCATTCGCCGCTTTTGCGCTTTGTCAAGACACTAATGTAATATTTATTTCCAATCCGAACTCGTGCCCCCTCAGTTTGCGCCACAACGAGAGGCTCGGCCACATTCAGCTTATCGATGAAGGTACTATCGTGCCTGCCAATTTCTTCACCACCAAGCCCAATATGGAGCTGAACGCGTTGGTTCCTCAGTTTGCCAGGAACAGTTTGTCGTCCGATGCATTTCACCATTCTGTTGACTGCCATCTCGCCGCTGCTCAACGAGCACAGCTTCTTACCCTGTTGCACGAATTCAGGCGTTTGTTTGACTTTCCCGAAGCGACACTAGAAAAAACGAACACCGTTGTTAACACAATTGACGTGAGGAAGAGTACGGCTTTACGCCACCGCCCCTATTGTGTGTCTTCGGCGGAGCGTTACGTAAATACAGAACAAGTCGATGACATGCTACAGCGCGGAGTCATCAAGCCTTCTTGTATCCCCTGGTCTTCCCCAGTTCTACTCGTCGAAAAATTTGGCAGATCCCACGTACCTGGATGTCCACATTACGTGAAGCATGTGGAGGAAAAGCGGCCATGTTGAATTTTTTTTATTATTGAGCGACACGTCATGAAATGATGCTAAATGTACAACTGTTGCATGCTCATACATATGTTGCAGAATCGCAGATGTTTATATAACCAGTTGTTTGTACATTTACAACGATGTCAACTCGAACATGTGCATTAGCAACACCAGAGGCTGATATGAAGCGCTGACGCTTGCGAAGGTGCTGGCCCCGGATACTGCTACATAAATGAGCTTCAGCGCATGACAACTAAACACATCTGACGTCAACCCACCCTGACGGCTGTATCAAAATAGTACGCATGTAGAGTTTATAAATTTGGGTAGGCAGCACTGCAACCACTATTGACGTTGAACACAGATTAACGTCTAA